AAATTGTATCCTATCCAGCCAACCTAGGAGGAGGGGAGTAGAACAGAAAAACATCTTCATTGAGAGGCAATAACTCATATATGGAAGCGTACAACGACGATAGTCTCGTCTAGGTGACAAAATTTGCTATATACTTATATTTGGTATAGTTGTCATGAAAGCAAAAATAGATAAAAAAATGTTGGCAACAATTTTACTAAGGATTCAACTTATTTTGACTGTTTCATTTATTTTTTAGATATTTTCTTACTGATCGGTTTTGTTATCTAACTTTTTTTTTCCATCTACATTATTGTCCTTGCAAAAGGCGCAAAAATGTGTTAAAATAAGCCATGCGACTTTTTTGAAGATTAAGTTGACCTTTGTTGTTGTTTAGAGATTTCACTCATTTAACTTGTGCGTAGATCGTATTTCCACCTTAAAGAGTTATTCAAATAGTCCTTTAACGTATAGATAGCGTGAAACTCTCACTACACTAGGCATCGGATATGCGACATTTCTATTTCGACCGGACGAAGCTGCGTCTTTATACATCCGAACAGCCAAACGGACGCGCTCTTACTCTTAAATGCCGCGTGTTTAGCGTTGAAACAGCAAATACCAATTGTAACGTCTTTGTTTGACCCGGTCGGGATTCGCACCAACAACCTCCCGCTCTAGAGGCAAACACACTCCCACGACACCAACCAGGAGAGCGGTAATAAAGAATATTATACCAAACACTCAAGTACAATAAACAATACAGTTTCACAGAATTTTTAGTTACTAAACGAGCTATAAGTATCTAATCTAAATTAGATGCGTTAAATGATATTGGAAACTACACGTAAATGTCGATGGCCGAATTCAGAGTAAATTTCCTGGATCAACGCTCTCTGCAAATTTAAAACTCTTGCACCAATTATTTGAAGGGTCCGGATGTGGCCAGCTGTCCTTATTCAATATACCCTCATTTTCCAGTGGTATTTCAAGTTTCACGTCCAACCCCACTGTCGACCTCCTTTTGTAAGACCTACCTATAGTATTTAAAATTTATGTGTTCTCGACATGAACATGCATGAAATATTTGCCACTGGACGTAAAGCAAACATCAATCAATCAACTTCATCAATTATTCCATGTACATAGTACACGAAGACAAGATCTTGTAAAATGGTATAATGTAAAATTTCGATTTAAATCACTCAATAATAGTTCAAAATTTTTTATGTTTGTTTTTGTTTTTGTTATTTCTTTTTGATATGATATGTCAGGCGATTATAAAACTAAGAAAGTTAAAAGTTTTTTTTGAAGGTGTTTATGGTGGGTCATTTAGACTTGAAAAGGGAATGACGGACGACTAAAATAAAAGCGTTTGTTTTCATATAATACATTTTATTTCAATTTAAGAATGATGATCGACCTTGCGAAAATATCTCATCTATACACATTTTGATCGAGCAACTCAAACCTACATAACTTGATGTTAAAGATGTTACATTAAGCTAATTTAATACGATTTTATTCATTGAAGTTTACAAGTATAGATTTTTTATTTAAAAAAAACACAAAAAAACAAGACTTATTAATTAATTGGAATGAACAGACAGCACTAATTATTTTGCATTTGCATGCAACGTAGTGTAGGAAAATTACAGAATCAAAACCAAAATGAACATTTACCTGAATATTGTGAAAGACTTTATGCATCTAGGTCTGTTCGATTAGAAAAAAAATTGAAAACAACACGTTTAATAATTTCATGCGTCCAAAGCGCTTTTCTGGATTTACCTTCACCAGGAACGCTCAAAGCCAAACATTTGAAATCCGAGGGATGTATAAGTACCGAAACAGTTGAAGAGCGATATGACAAAAATACATAAAACAAATAGCCAAATTCATCTAAGATCAACTTTGCCTGAGGGAGTTGAAACCTTAGTTTCTTTATAATTTCAAAATTTATAAACGGACAATTTTAGAAAGATTTGTTATAAATCATGTCAGTACCGAAGTACTGCCTACTGAGCTGATGATACCATCGGGGACTGATAGTCCACCAGCAGAGGTATCGACCCAGTGATGTAAAAAATTACAAACAACACGTTTAATAATTTCATGCGTCCGAAGCGCTTTTCAGGATTTACCTTCATCAGGAACGCTCAAAGCCAAACATTTGAAATCCGAGGGATGTATAAGTACCGAAACAGTTGAAGAGCTATATGACAAAAATACATAAAACAAATAGCCAAATTCATCTAAGATCAACTTTGCCTGAGGGAGTTGAAACCTTAGTTGTTTAAATAACTAATTGTTGGAAGAGTTTACTTACTGTTTTCATATGGTCTGGTCTTTTCGAATCTATTTCATGATTCATGACAGATTAAACACATCAAATATATATAACAAGAAGTTTTTGTGCAAAACATTCATTGGTCAGTTGTAAATGAGGTCTGTATAGGGTTTCGATTTACTCATTTATAAAATAAAAAATCGTTATTTGAAAAGTTGGAATTCAAAAAATATAAAATTACACCTTAATTTTATAAAACTATCCTATGGTGTTATTTTAATGCTAAAAAATTATAATAAATGAATAATTAAATGATGTACTGCCATTTAATCGGTCCGTTTCCAATGCAATTAGGTAACTGTTATTTGTATATATCAGCCTGAGTAATGTTTAACTATCATTTAAGTTGAATATATTTAGACTCCTCCAATTCAGGGGAATAAGACTTCTGCACGTGGTTTTTGTGTACTTTCCTTATGTTTTTGACGGTTTGTAAGTCAATAAAAGTCCAATGATTAAGTTAATATTGACATTAAAAGACCTCCTCACAAAAAGGGCTGTTAAAATCCCCTCGCACTTCGGGCTCTGGGATCTCAACATCCCTTTTTGTTCGAAGGTCTTTTAATATCAATATTAACTTATCATTGAACTTTTACTATTACCAATTGTGCATATACACATGTTAATCCAGAACTATTTTGTTGGTCAATTGGGCTTTTTATATGATAGGTTTCTCTCTATAAGTTTTAAAACTGCCTTATTAATGTAAAGAATAATTTTCACTAAATTCAATTTAAATCAGCAATATTTCCACATCTTCTTTCACTCAGACAAAACGTCTTTTGGTTAAAAAGAGTTTTTTGCACTTAAAAATTGAATTATGTAACAAGATAAAGATAACTGACGACTAACAGTAGGAAACCAAATGCCTTCTGCTATGAAAAACACAGCAAAACCATGTTTAAAAAAAACCCCAATAAATGTCGGTAATGGATTATTTGGATTTTCACAATAATTGACATCAAAGCGGTAATGTATTGCAATTATAGATACAGTTGGGATTAGTTCTAAAAGAGAGACGAAAGATACAATAGGGACATTCAAACCAAAAAATCGTTGACAAATTGACAACACCATGCCAAAAATGGAAAAACAACGGAACGACCAAACGATAAAAAGCAGTATACAAAACGCAACATAGACAACTCAACATGTTTTACCTCTCCACAATCTGTATGTGCCAGTCTCAAATCAGGAGCGTGTAATTCAGTGATAGTCGATTGTTGCTGTATATCTTATTTATTTTTCGTTTATTGCTTTTTACATTATCAGGCTGTCAGTTTTCTCGTTTGAATTGTTTTACATTTGTGATTTCGGGGCTTTTTATAGCTTACTATGCGGTATGGATTTTGCTCATTGTTGAAGGCCGTACGTTTACCTTGAAGAGCTGTTTTAGATTATGGCGACTCGGTTTTATCTTTTATTTATTTATTCTAAGATACTCTGTAAAACAGTTCTTCTGCAATCGTTCGAACAGGTTCTTACAGAAGCGGTTCTACACTAAAACAGCTTAATCAGCTCTAACCTAGAACATATTCTGACAGTTTTAATGTTCTTTCTTTCTTGATATTTATCTAATACATATATTTGTATTTAGGTCATATTATTTCAAACTTGATAATCTGCAATGTCTTTAATACTTTTATGAATATTTATTAAGTATTGTTAATTTAAAAAAAAAGGTTTACATGTTGTATTTAATAATTTTTCTATCCGTTTTTTTAGCTTTAGAAACTTATGGTAATATTAGCGTGCCACAATATTGTTTATGTCAGATATACGAACATTCCCCGAGAAAAATGCAATACCAATTTTACCTATACCAAACACCGCAAAGAGCTTACTCTATTAAATGCTAGATAGCTATTCTCTATTAAAGATTACTTGAGCATTCCTATCAATAGGATAACAAGCAATAATTTTATTTTAAACTTTAAAATTACACCAATGTGTAGCTTATTCAATTATTCTGTTTAAAAAAATACTTTAACAATTTTTCTGAACTATCAGAATGTTTCAATCATTTAATTTGGCGATACTTTTGCCAAAAAAAAGTAAAATAATAATAAAATGTAATTTGAAAGAGACCAACCGTGTTTTACGTAATTTATTCATCAATATAACATTCGTCACCGAGTTTCTCATGTTTCTTCGATAAATCCATACACGAATAATAAAAGATTTTTTTCTAATGTAAGTTCATACAAATGTAGACCAAAGGAGTCCGCTATAAACCGAATGACGCCGTCAAATAAAAGTACATTAAAAATATGACTGCGCTTCGTATCTAAAAACCGTTGCCGGATATAACTGACCTAAGAAAAACTTTATACTTTAAAACATGTCAGAAAAAATAGAAGAGTAAAAAGAAAAAGAACAATATTCAAGATTCTTTTTTAAAGAGCTAGTTTAGAAATGAAATGAAATCGCTTCGCAATTCATATATTATAACAGAAATAAAAAGTGACTGACAGTTCTAGTCTAAATAAAATCATGTATATAAATTTGTTTCAAAAAGGGAACTTCTTATATAGACAATTTTAACAATATTACATTATTTACCATAGTAACAACATTACAAGCAGAGTTGCATTTTATACATGTTTGTGTTTCATTTTTGTTACTGTACAAAAAGAAAAAAACAGAGTATTTTTTATGTCAACTACTTTTTATTATCAAGAGCAGACACACAAGTTCTTCCGATTGTATCATAAAAATAGTATAATGTAGTTTTAAACAACATTTGCAAAATTATATGTTGATTCGTTAGAATGGTTCCTCAATCCTCTTTCTGGAATGCCAGAATCGTTAATTGGGACATGTAGCAACCCATGCATCTCCGCATACTCACACATACAAAATGCACGCGTGGTATGCCTGTAAGATTTACTGTTTTCCAATTTTTGCTCAAGAAAATCTTGAACAAAATTTACAGACATTCTGATAAGTAAATCTCTTGCTTTCTCCTGAAAGACAAACTTTTAATTATAATAACTTATCTCATAATATTAGAAACCTACACCAAGCATGTTAAATAAAGTAACAACAATAACAGATTCGAATATAACTTGAAAATCAAAGCATGCCCTTCTTGTATTGTTTGAAAAATCATAATTTAAATATCAACTCTTAACATGATGGTAAAAAATGTGAATACAATAATACAATAAGATAATGTCTTGTTGATAACATCAAGTACTTTGAGCTTGATTAAGGTAGCTGTGAAATTTCAAGTTTCGTTTTAATGTTGTACTCTTTTAACAACAGTTTCGATATTCTACTACACCGACATAATCAGTTGGTTTGACATATATTGTGAGTTTGCCTTATTCTTCTTTCATCAGTATCTCGATTATAATTTAACTAATATCAAACATTATCAGTAATCAGAATCTGAAGTCATAGTTACATTGTGTATCAGCTAATCAAAGAAAATTTGGCTCGTACCCATTATTTATCACTTTCTTTCCTGATGTCATGTGTCCAAATCAAATAAATTTTATCGCTTTTGAAGAGAACGTAAATTCTTGCCATTTTCAACAATAAACGTCCGGTGAATATATTCAACATATTTGATAGACCATAAAGTTGACTTTGTACATACTTATCAATACTTGTAACACAAATAAAATACTTCGTTAGCCTCACTTAAGAAATAAGCGCACTGCTATCTAGGTTGAAACCAATTATAACCAGACGTCATTCTTACGAAAGTATGTTCTATTTTGTCTTTTACTATCAGAAAAAAACTCAATCTCAAATAGTGTAATCATAAAAAACACCCGTTATCTCTTATAGCAATCTTCAATGTACGATGTGAATGAAGATACCATGGTACAGTCTTGCTCAGTTTGCTGTCAAATGTCCAGGATATCACCAGCCCAGTAGTCTTTACTTCTATGTTGACATGAATGATCATTATAGATATATGTTTACAATACTTATTGCCGTATTTTGTAAAACATTTCGGAATTTGGGTCTTAAATGCTCTGCAACTTCGTACTTTATTTGTCCATTTTATCTTGTTTGATTCGAGCATCATGGATGAGTCTTTTGAAGATGAAACGCGCGTTTTGCGTACAAAATTTGATCTATGACATTATAGTCACTCATTTTCCCTACCATCACTTGTTTCCAGTAACTCAGTCTTCCGTTTTGGACTCTTACAGTTTTAAGAAATTTATTCCTCCTCCCAAACATCAATATTGAAAAAAAAAATTACCAGCGTATTGATTATTGATAATTTGTATAGCATTCAAGATTTTATTTCAGTTTGACTACCACATGTCTAGATAAGATTCATTTTACATCTTACTGATGAAGGATATTAGTTATCCGAAATATCTAAAGTTTGTTCATGATTTAATTATTTTTTGGTGATGTTGTACCCTTTTAGACTTGTTATATATATATATATATATATAGATTGCCTAACAATGTAATTTTAACACACTTTTTAGTATGTAAATATAAGAATGTTTAAAATATTTTCAAAATGATGAAAATAAACGCAATATTTCGCTAGACTAACTAGCTGGCCAAAGACCACAATTAATGATCCCGCGTTTCGTTGTCCACGAATATAGTTCCTTTTAATTAGAGTGTATTTTTTCTTAATTTTTTTTCTTTCCCTTCCTCACTCATTTCTTATTTCTGAATGTTTGATATATGTTTGGACTAGTACTGTACTTTACACACACAAAATATTTGACAAAAAGAATCGGTGCATTTTTTTTAATGAAAAAAAACGTTATTAAGAACTAATAGAGAATTTAATTGTGGTCTGTGGCCAGCTTTATCAAGCGTGCATCTATCCAGGTGAAATCGGATGTAGATGATAAGAAACTTTTGCAGCTCAATGTATATGTTGAACTTGAATTTAGCTGCCTTGAAAATAATACATAATTTGGATGAAGTTCAAGATTTTTACAAAATTGGTAGTTGAAGTTAGCAACTTCCATTGGCCAATATTACAGGATAAAAAGGACGATGCTGTGTACTAAATTATTCTTTATCTTTCCTGTATCTTTTCTCATCTTTTTCGTTAAGATCATCAGGTTCTAAAGTGTGGAGTTGGTGGATCCAAAAATTTTCTCTTCTCCTTCTCGCCGTGGTGTCCCACTCGGTGTTGACTTCTATGATTTGGAAAGTAACATTATCAAGTTTTTGTTGGTTTTGTACCATGAACGATGGTTATTGAGCCGAATATTAAATTTGTCCATTGTTTCTCCCAAGAAATGCCACAAGTGTCACATGTTAATATATAAATTGAGTTCTCCGTTTTACAGTTGGAATTTGAGTAGATGGTATAATTTTGTTTAGTAACGGAGCTGATGAAAGAACTGCTTGTATTGGCAGCTTTACAACACAAGCAGTTCCTTCGACCACATTGTTTGTAGCAACCGGGAGATGGAGTAGGCTGCTTTGCTAATACAGATGTCACTAATTTGTCACGGATGTTTTTAGGTCTTCTGAAGGCCATGACTGGTGGTGAGGAAAATACTTTTTTAAGATTTGAATCATTTTCTATAATTTTCTAATGCTTCTGAACAATGGAAGACACATTTTTAAAATCAGGATGGTAAGTGAGTACAAGGGGTGTTCTGTTAGCTGCTTTATTCTGATCTTTGTACTCTAGAAGTTCTTGGCGACTAGTTTTGTTTGCTCTTTCGAAAGCGCTATCAATGATGTTGTTATTGTATCCTCGAACAACTAGATGTTTACGTAGTTGTACAAGTCTAGCATTTTGCGTATTTTCAGTAGAGCATATTCTCTTGATTCGCAATGCCTGGCTGAATGGGATCTACGGGAGCAGTGTTTAGGATGGCAACTTTTAGGAGAAAGGAATTGATGTTTGTCCGTTTGTTTGGTATGAAGGTCCGTTATAATGGTTCCGTTCTTGATGTAACTCGTAGTGTCGAGGAAGTTTATTTTCTCCATAGATGATTCATATGTAAATTTTATTAAAAGGTGGAAAGAGTTACAGTGTCCTAGAAATTCATTAAGATGTTCTTGTGAATCTGTCCATTTGAAATCAATATCGTCAATGAATCGGAACCATGATAAGGGCTGGTATGGAGCACTAGCCAAGAGGCGTTTTTCAAGTTGGCCCATAAATATGTTGGCATATGACGGGGCCATTTTTGTGCCCATACTAGTACCGTCTATCTGGAGATAATGTTTTTCATTGAAAGAGAAGTTGTTGTTCTCTAGCACTAGTTTCAGAAGTGTAACAAGGCACTCAGTTGGAGGATTATTTCACTACGAGTGTTCCATACCTCTTCACACGCTGCTATTCCTTCGTCTTGTGGAATGTTGGTATATAAAGAAGACACGTCCATGGATGCAAGTATAGTATTGCTTGGTAGAGGATTGAGGCTTTCCATTTTCTTTAGATAATCAGTCGTATCTTGAATGTAAGAGGGTAGTTCTTTCACATGAGGTCTTAGATGATGGTCTACAAATTCTGATATCTTTTCAGTTGGATGACTATTTGCTGAAACAATTGGTCGACCTGGATTGCCCGTTTTCTGTATTTTAGGCAACATATAGAATCTTCCGGCCTTTGCTTCGTTCTCAAGAGGTCGGAGATAATCAAAGGTGTCATTGTCTATATGCTTTTTGTCGAACATCTCTTGAAGGATGGTGTTGATCCTTCGAATAGTATTCAGTGTTGGATCTGTGGTTAATTGCTTATAAAAAATGGAGTTTGAAAGTTGGCGATTTCCCTCTGCTATGTAATCTGTTTTATTCATGACAACCACAGCGCCCCCTTTGTCGGCAGGTTTTATTACGATATCCTCTTGATCTTTTAACGCTTTCAAAGCAATGCTTTCTGACTTGGATAAATTATAATTTCTTGTATTTGTTATACAGGACTTTATATCAGACCTCACGTAGTTAATGAATGACTCCAAGTTATCATGTTTACTCTTAAGTGGTTTCCATGAACTTTTTTTCTTAAATTTTGGGATAGGCGTGACTTCTTCATTGGTGTCAGTATCTGAATCTGTTAATCCAGCTTCTTCAAGGTTTTTCTTGCCCCTATTGTAGAAAAAATCTTTCAAGCGTAAACGTCTAGCGAATTGGTCTTTGGTCTAAGTCCTCGTCTAGCTGAAAGTTATTTACATTTGATGGGATAGGACAGAAGTTTAAACCTTTACTTAAAAGAGATTCTTCAGCACGTGTAAGTTCTTTAGATGACAAATTTACAACAATGCTTTCAGTTTTTTGTTTCCGTCTTTTGAATTTTCTTTTTCTAGGGACCTTATGGTTTGTTGTATTGATATCATTCATATCCTGATTTAAATAGACAGTGTGAATTTTATCTCTTTGAAATTTATTCCTTTGTTTTTCTTTATGTTTGGATAGTTCAATTTTTTCAATACCTGAGAGGCGACGTTTAATTATTGGTAAATCGTCACGTGAAATGTTACTATTGTTGATGATATCTGATATTTCATTTACAATTTGTTTGTTATTTGTGGTTGTAAAAGAAAGTAACAGTTGAAGTAGTAAAACTGTAAAACGGAGAACTCAATTTATATATTAACATGTGACACTTGTGGCATTCAGTATGTGGGAGAAACAATGAACAAATTTAATATTCGGCTCAATAACCATCGTTCATGGTACAAAACCAACAAAAACTGTCCTCTCACAAGACATCTTCGTTCAACGAAACATTCTTTTGATAATGTTACTTTCCAAATCATAGAAGTCAACACCGAGTGGGAAAATTTTTGGATCCACCAACTCCACACTTTAGAACCTGATGGTCTTAACGAAAAAGATGAGAAAAGATACAGGAAAGATAAAGAATAATTTAGTACACAGCATCGTCCTTTTTATCCTGTAATATTGGCCAATGGACGTTGCTAACTTCAACTACCAATTTTGTAAAAATCTTGAACTTCATCCAAATTATGTATTATTTTCAAGGCAGCTAAATTCAAGTACAACATAT